TGAGCCACACACACACAGCCACAGCCACACACACACACACACACACACTCACACACTCACAGACAGACAGAGATGTCTTGCTTTATAGATAGATTATAGATAGATAGATATATAAATTATCTTTTGTTTGTGGACCATTTGGTAATGCTAAATGGTAATTGACTGTATTTTGTACAGTGCCTCTCTGTCTTTCACCTACTCAGCTTTTACACTAATGCCACAATGGCCCTTTCATTCACATTGACACACCTCTGAGCAGTCTTCAGCTGCTCCTTTGAGCCCATGCTCTCGTTTCCCCTCTCATACCACTTAGTTGACCCTAGTGGACCCAAGATAAGATGCCCATTTTGGGCCCATACACCACTTGGTACCCATGTAGCCCAGCATAACCCATGTGGGGCCCACATACACATGTTGGCTGGGAGTTAGCAAACTGACTAAGTAAGTTGTCAGTTACATAACAATACCTAGGAAACAGTAGCTAGCTTTAGCTAACACTATCTACATATAACTGGTCATATCCTAACTGTAACAACAAACTACCTGAATGTAGTGAATCGAGAATTTTGTATTGCTTATAATTAAACTCAACTTTTTATATTGTGCTATTGTTTTAATCAAATGCTACATAGGGTCTTTTCTTTAAGTATATAAAAATGTATTCCTACATTTAAAATATGTTACTGTGGCTAAAACAATTTTACTAACCAGCATTAGTAAAATTGTTTTATGGTTACAACACATGCTTTGGCATTCTATAATAAGTCACATCATTAGATAAGCAGTGCTCCAGTGTGTGCATGTACCTTCATTTGATAAAAAGCTGTGTTTGCTTCAGTGCACACACAGCACTGGTTTAGATACTAATGTTGAATAATGAAGCCAGATGATCAACTAGAAAATCAGATGAAATCAGATTAAAATTTAATGATCATTAATAAACTCTACTTTATGTTGTTACCATTAATATTTGAGGGGTCTGTACAAGAGTTTCTCTTATGTAAAGTCACACTGGAGGGTCCAGTGCTGTGACGTACCTTCACCAGGCCTGGGTACTCATTGGATGGGAGACCGTAGATATGCTCTTTAGTCTCCTCACCCTCAGTCAGCAAGAAGCAGGGAAAGCGCTGCTTCACATTGTATGATCCCGGAACCTTCTCTTTCCAGTAGCATACGTTGATCTTCACCACCTATAGCAGTGAAACCAGAAAAACTATTAGTACCAGACAAGTCCTCAGCAATCTGGCTGGTTGGCCTAATGTTCAACTACACTGTATACCGTGCATTAGCTTTGAAATGACAAAAATCCTTGATTTATCCAAACAGCATCCCTAAGAGCCATAGTGTAGGCATGCAAAGAAACTATTTCAAAATGTACATAAAAATTCAACTAATATGGAAAATCACAATACAACTTTCTACCCAGATGGAAATTAAAACAACCTGCTGTGTGCATAGGCTGCACACATTTCTTTTTTACTATTGTACTAATTTCATTTTCGTCAGAGCCATACCAGCTGCACTAAAAACTTAACTTAACTTAAAAATTTGTCCTGAGGGTGGCATTACATGAAAGGCGATGGGACCAATGGGAACAATTTATCACCATTTGACAACTGGCAATTTGCCTGTTTTGATGGCCTGTGTACACACTTGACAATTTGGCCTGATTGTGGTGCAAGAGAGAGGCTACAGAGTCTATCCTCTGACCAGCATTAATGTGCTGTCCCCAGTAAATTTCATTCCAATCTGCTTATTCATTGAGATCTTTGTGTTCAAACAGATGGTGCAAGAGGGAAGGTAACACACCACAAAGCATTGGGGGCCTTGAATATCCACATAAGATTTGATGGAAATGTGATCATATGCCTTTTTGGCCTAATGGTGGCACTAGAGGAGAGATCAGGGGCTCATTAAAACCCCAGGAATTGTATTTTGTTTTGGTTATATAAATGTCATAGCAATCTTGGTAGTAGTTGCTGTGTGTGGGTTACCTCAGATATGATAGATATTATTGTACAGCTGATGAATACTACACTTGGTATTAGCAATAAAACCCCATATTGGTTAAAATACAAACATACCTAACACCGTCTCCTCCATCCCCTTCATCATCTAATACGTAGAAGTGCAGTTACAAAAGTAGCTCCACGGCGGTAAAGTGAGAATTAGGATTTAATGAAATGTACACATGGTTGTACAAATGACGTCCATCTGAGGGTGGCAATAATAAGGACACATTGTTCAGGAGCTTTCACTGTAATGAACTAACCGGCCGTGCACTCATTTCCAGGGACCATAAAAATTCAGACTCTGGTGAGTCAACGAGCTCAGAGCCTGGGCTTTTCTACCAGCACACTCAGGCATGGCGTTCCCCCGGCTGCCCCCTCCCAGCCACTGCTTCAATAATGCAATTCCAATATCAACTCCAATTCTCCACTCTAACAGCTGTCTGCTTGTTTTCCCATCACCTTCTCTTTTCAGGCTGTGTGGCATATTGAGAGTTGGAAAAGACTGCCTTGCTGGCTAAGGCCTCTGAGCTCTTTTAAACATGGAGGAGTGATGCTTTTGTTTCTGTGGCATTTTCAGATGGGCATTTAAAGGACCAGTGCAAAGGATTTAGTGGCATCTAGTGGTGTCGATTGCAACTCACTCGTTTTACCTTCCCCTCCCAAGCGCCAAGGAGAAACTGTAGAAGCCGCGAAACGATTGTTTGAGACCATTGTTTGTGCCTTTTGGGCTGCTGGTGGTTCAACATGGCGGACTCCTTCTGTAGCTATAAACAGCTCATTCTAAGGTCACAAAACAACGATTTCTAATATAGGGTGATTATACACTAATGAAACATACTATGAATATTATATTCCATTTCTGTCCAATAGATTCTCTCCTACAATGTTACCACACTGGACCTTTTTAAAAGGTAGGCAGGGCAACATCCCAGTGGTGAAAAAAGGGTGGAACTGGGTTAGATCTGGGGGCTGTAAACAATGCACAGAGTAACAACCCATGCATACACCTCCAACACATAAACTGGTATTTATAAAAACAGATTGCACACACAGAGCAGGCCGAATGTGATATAATGAAGTGGAAATAAAACATGTAAGCGACAGAATCTAGTTATAAAACAATGTTCGTTTAGGGTTGTGAGTCATTTTCACTTACTTATGGTTATACAGGGATCTATAATTTGATGAAATGGTGCCTCTATATTTTATTTCCCTGTTTATACTCATTTACTATACTATACTAATTTCATCCTTTATTGTGGAATACTTTGTAACGTCTGTTTCAATATAAGTGCTATAAACTAAATCATAAACATCTGATGATCATTATTTAAATATTACTGATGGTTAAAAAACATGTGATGGATTATGGGCCATGCATAATAAATAGTGCTTCAGCTTGTTGGTCACCTCTCCTTAGCCGTTCTTTCCATTGAGAGGTTGACTATGCAAACAGATGTTCTCATGTAACAGCTGGTAAAAGTGAAACTCATTGTAATGACTTTATACTGCTGGGTAGCTTAACCTATAATAATAAGTCATCATTTATTAGTTGATTTATATTTTGTATTAATACTGTGAATCTGCAAAGAAACTAAAGTTACCAAATAAATTCAGTGGAGTAAAACATATATTTCCATCCATAATGTAATGGAGTGGAAGTATAAATACTGAACTAAAGTACGAGTGCCTCAAAATTGACTTAATGTACAGTACTTGAATAAAAGTAATTTAGAAAACCCACTAACTAAAAATAACTAAAATGATAAAAAATAAAAAAATACAATAATAACAAAAAAATAATAAAGTAACTCAAATTTTCATTTTTACTGCAAATGTATCTTGCTTCCAAATATCGGTTTCCTTGATTACTAATATTCTGTAGCTGTAGTAACCTTGAAAAAAAATGTAATATATTAGGAATTGCTGACACTACTAGTTACTGGAGAAAGTAATCTTAATACTGCAATATTATTACTAGTAATTAGCTACTGCCCAACACTGCAAAACACACTCTAGTTTTGCTACTATTGAAACTTTTTGCCATGCTAGTTAGGGTAAGTATGGTACCTGGTCTGGACATTTAGGTTGCATTACAGAGAAAAACATGTGTCTACTTGATTATACTGTGGAGATCACATCACAGGGTGTAGTGCAAGTGTTAGCAAAATTCAGTTAACCCCCTAAAGTACAGTACTGCATATATACACAGCTATATGAACATTACTGTGCAGAATTCAAATACCTCTAGTGGCAGCTGTAAGCCAGTGTGTGCCAGCAGTTTGTTAGCCCAGGCTCCAGCGGTGATCACCACACTCTTGGCTCGATAAACACCAGCAGAGGTTGACACCGTCACAACAGGGCCAGGCTTGATGTCCGTCACCACCTCTTTGTCTCTTATGGCCCCACCCAACTTCTGAAACTGCCCCTGGGAAAAGAAATGAGAGAATGAATGAAAATCCTCTGTAAACCTATATGTAATTAAGTGCTTTTAAATGAATGATATTGATTGATCAGTAATGGCTTTTAAAAGGACTTGCCCACCATAATTACCATATTTATTTAAAGAATGCAATTAGAACATAGAAAACCAATGAATAAAAAGAAAAATACAGATATCATAAAGTTAAATTGGTACTATTATCTAAAACACTGTCTTCTTCTTCCACTTGTTTTCACATTATTAATTGATCATCTCACCAAAATAAGGGTTCAAAATCCCAATGTTACAGGTGTCAGTATTGATAAACAAATTGCATTATGATTTATTTAACCAAACATTAAAAAACTGTACACTCTGTGATAACCTGTTTCAGAATCTTTGGATGTTTCAAGCCCATTGCACATGAGTTACTGAACGTGACAACAAATACACTGTTTATTTTCTTCATTACATTATGACATAATAGAACAACTGCAGTAAATTGATAAATTCTGACGTAGACATCATTGGTAAAAATTAACTAGAATGAAGTTCTTATTTTTTATTCTTGGATAAATTATTCTGCCTAATCATATTAATACAATCAGTAGTAATGTACAGTCTGTTACAGAGAGAGCAAATTCTTAGAATGAATGCTGCACAATAGGGAGTTTTACAGGTTGAAGGCTACAAACAGAAAGAAGAAGTTTAATATTGTGTCATAAAATATCAATTAAATACACAAAACATGCTCCTACTATAACTGTAGATTTCTAAAAGTCAAGTATACAATAAAGACCTGTTTTTTTAATTAGGGTAGAGGATTAGAGATTGATTTATCCTGGAGAGAGACAGTTTCTTGGCCATGTACATGCTTTCATATATTTCCAGAGTTTCTAATCAGCTTAGCATGTAAGTCTCTGCATGACAGTGCCTTCAGACTCTTTTCTGTCGCTGCAGCAGTGATGAAAAGAGATTGTTACACACAGCGATGCATACAAACTCAAAATAGTTTATTTTAAAGTCTAAACTAAAACTGACAGTTGCCTCTGAGTCAAAATAATTTGGTTTCCACAGCTGATCATTTGACTACTCTTGTTGTAAAGTTTGAGTTACAGTTTGTATGAGTATAAACACAACGAGGCTGTAATGGCGGACTCGGTGTTTAAATGTCATTGACAACCTCTGTAGTCTCATTTAGCCACTTGTTAGCAACTGTCTTTTTGAAGAATGTAAAAGCTTCAACATTCACAGGTGGGGTATTTTGGGGTATCACTGCAGACTTGTATATTGGCAAGAATCTGACAATACAAATCACGATACAGGGGTTACAATTCAATATATCGCAATACTGAAAGCAAGGCAATGTGTTGCAATTAAAAAATGATAATAATTATAGCAAAACTGTATAAAAGATAAGTATAAAAGAACACACCACCATATGCATAAAATCTGAGTAGTAAAAAAGTCAAGTTTATGTAACAAGAACAGTGGGATCTCCATTTTGATTTATTACAGTTGCTGTAACATCCGTCATCATAGCCCTCAGTTTACAACACTGCTGTCCTGCAGTTGGAGATTTAAACACAAAAATCAATAGTGTTTTTGAGAATCGATACAATATTTTTAGACATTTCTTTACAGCCCTAATGACTCCAAGAATGTTCGGGTGTGGTCATCAATTTGTTTGGAAACAGACCTGAGCTGGCCCTGCATTCAGTCATGAAGAAAAATCAGCAGTTTGTTTTCAAAAAAAAAGAAAAGAAAAAGACATTCAGAAATGTGCCACTCTGAGATAATGTGACAAGACAGATCACTTGCGACATATATATTAAGACATAATATTAAAGGCAAGAGGCTATTAAAGAGCCATGGCATGAAAATGCTCAAAGCGATAACCTACCGATCTATTACACATCTGTCACTACAAGCTTTAATTCATAATTGACTGCTGCTTCATGGAAAAGCGGCTGAACAATCTGTTCGGTCAATTGAAAATGGCACCTCACTGAAATAACAAAGCAGTGTTTTATGCTTGACCTGGCAGCCATGGATGAGTCTGTTCTCCTCCAGTGCTTTTTCTCAGTGCTGACAGAGTCCAGTAATGTGAATTTATTGCTGAAAGATATTCCTGGTGTGAGCTATTATTAGATTAAAACAACGGGCATGAAATATGTTCAATTATCCACATCTTGGTATTTTTCAGCTCAATTCTCTATCTAGGTCGTACACGAATCAGAAAATGTTTTGCTTTAATCTCTCATCACTTCAACGTGTTCTCTAAGGTTTTTTTGATAGAGTACCATTGCCTATAGTTCAGTCAAATTCTACATTTTGTATGGTGCAGATTTCTTTAATCAAAACACCGCTTTCTGCCCTGTACCCTGGAGCAGACAAGAAGGGCAATTTATGTTTTATTGAAAACACTTTTATAGTAATAGGAAATAGGAAACTTGCTAATTTGCTATTGATGTGTTAAATAATGCAAATAAATTCCTACAGAATGCAACTGAAAGGGCCATGCCTTTTAGTATGTGAGGGGGGCAGACACTGGCTTTCATATTTATCAAGGAGAGCAAGACCTTGAAATCTCTGAAAAACTTAGGATGTGGATCATTTGAGCTATATGAACTTTATGGACCTCTGTGATTAGTCTTAATTAGACTTCAGTCGCAGCAATGCATTAAGTCATACATAGGCAATTTAAAGAAAAACGTCACCTTATTATATGGATTTTATTTTTACCTGCTGAAAAAAACGCATATTCAGCAGGGTGGTAGCTCTGTCCATCAGCTCTGTCAGTTACCACAGTGACATTACGGAAAAATGTCTCACACGAAAAGAAACACGAGCAGTCAGACTGTGGAGGTGGGTGTGGTTTGC